TTATTAAAAGACTTTATTTTCCAGCTGTCTCGCTCTTTTACTATGTACGGTTTTCTTACAAACGATATCTTTCTAAAGCTTATTTTTAACTATCTGTTTTAGCAAGAAAAGTATGAAACAAACATATTACATTTGCATTAGTGTGGACAAAGTATCTAAAGACGAATTGACGAATCGCAATTTTTGGGCGTAAAAATGATGCAACAATTCGCATTTTACCATTGTTTGGCGAATTCGTGATTCAATGCGAACTGATGCGAATTAACAAAAATGATCAAAAACGAACCAGAAAATTGCCTCTTTTGTTCCTTTTGCCAATTCGTAAATTAGGACGAATTCGTAAGAAAGAAATTTCCGGTACCTACGAATTCGTAAATCGAATTGGTCGACCATCGACGAATTCGTAAAATGATCATTTTGGTCCCCAAGAATCCGTGTACGAATTCGTAAATTGGCAAAAATACGACAAAATGCGAATTTACGAATTCATAGATGCCAAAGCATAACCGACGAATTCATAAATAGAATTCGTAAAATACGAATTGATGTCAGGGACAGGACACATTTGTCTAAGGTTAAAAATAGATAGATTCGTCTCTTCTCATCGATTCGCATACTTCTCACCTCACTTCTCCGTTATTTTTACGAATTCGTAGAATACGAATTGATCAGTTGAATGAATTAATCAAAAAATGTGATAATAGACTATATCAATACATGCATCTGTGCAAAACAAAACAGAGGGGAATCTCTCTTCTTTTTGTGTGCATGTGCCAAGCGGGGGGGGGGGGCAGTGCGGATGGCTATGAGTATTTACACAACATGCCGTATTTTACGAATTCGTAAGCATAACGGCGAATTGGTATGAGAAGTATGCGAATCGGTGAGAAGAGACGAATCTATCTATTTTTAACGTCAGAAAAAAGTGTCCTGTCCCTATGTAGCCTAATAAGCGTACACATCGATTCGCAATGAATTTGCAGAATGGGTTTTTCAATTCGTGGATCCATTTTCAACCGCTGTATCAGTTTGCAATACGAATTCGCTAATTCGTATTTACGGATCAATCGCAAAATAAGGGTAAAACGGGAATTGTTGCATCATTTTTACGCTTATAAATTACGATTCGTCAATTCGTCTTTAGACACTTTGTCCACACATCTCTACATTTGCACTTAAACCCAATCAAAACTATTTTAAATAAACTGCTGAATTTATGATTTGTGACGTCTCTTTTTTTTTATTTGTTAAACTGTTTTTGTGCGATTGTTTTAAAGTTGTTTGTCTCTTTTTGCTAAACTGTTTTATACCTTGCTGTTTCTTTTACGGATGTGTGTTTGTTTGTTTATAATATTTTTAAACTTTATCTCTCTACTGTTTCATGAAAGCGGGCAATAGGCCTGATCATGTCTTTCGCAACAAATCATCATGAATTACGCACTCTGACGAAAATAGAAATGAGAAAAGAGTATTTATTTACTCATTTTCTTTCGTCATTTATGTGTGTAAATTAACATGCTGTTATGCACAAAATTCTATTCAATCTATGAGACTCTCATGTGAACATAATTATATGTAAAGAAATCTTACAACATCAGAATCTTACAGTTATAACATCAAACACGTTGACATAAGTGAACGCTCAAATTTTAAATGCCATTTTTACAAAAGCTTATTAAATTGTTCATCCTCTTTATGATAAAAATACGGTCATAATGCGGCGATATCATCAGCGAACATAGAAATGTTTACATTAACAGATGAACAAAAGGATGGATGATCATGTGAAAAAAAATCGAGAAAGAATACTTCGTTTAGGTACTCCGAAAGAGCAGTCTTACACTAGGGAGGTGTTTTTTGAAAATTGGACAAAATATTCTCGATTTATAAAATAAAATTGTAAACTGTTTCGAGTACAGCAATTTTTTCGTTTTACTTTGAAAAGAAGAATATTTTTTGGACTTTTATCAAAAGCTTTCACGAAATTAATAAATATCGCTATTATTCTTACAGTTTTATTATACGGTATTTGAATTTGTCGGATTAAATTTAAAATTTCACCTATTATACACCAGCCTACTCAAAAGCCACTGTATCCATTTTTTTGGATTTTGGATAAACATTTCGAGAGGAATTAGACTGTTAGTATCCAGCCATGCAATTACTGTAAGAGCAATCTTAAACATTCAAAAACTTCAGAAACATTACTAAGGTGGCTAATAGGCTGATAACTGTTCGGATCCGTTTTTAACTTATCGTTTTATGTAACGTATGAACGTTTTGCATATTCCTACAGTCACGGAAAGTACCTAAAAACAGGAAATCTGAAAGTAAACGCAGCACATGTAAAAGAGAAATAAGAACCTATTTGAAAATAATAGAACTTTTATCATTCCCTAAGAAAGTTTTGGTAAAAAAGGACAAGCTGCTCTATTCAGCCGACAAATATTCATCGATTTGAATGGAAGCACCTACTCTAAGAGTGATAAACTACTTTTTATTCGTCTTATCTTTAACGGAATGTGAATACATTCAATAAAACACTGATGTATCATTCTGTATTTCTTCACTGCGTCGTCAATCTTGGTTCCATTTTCTTTTAAATGTTATTTTCTGTTAGTTTTCTTATAATTGCGTCGTTCTCTATATTCAAATGCATATAAATATATCTCAGTCATGTAGGTATATTCATATTACTCACGTTGCGTTTGAATATTAATATTAATTATGCATGAAGTATTTTCATATTTGTTTGTTGCTGTATTATTTATTGGTGTGCATTCTAAAACACTTGTGGGGGACGGTTCAAATGATCAAGGCCAAAACGCTACTCACCCTGGTCAGTACATTGTCTACTTCTCATTCTCACCACAATTTTATTGAAACCTTTTGACAATGAATATTTTCGTTAACAATTGACGATCAATATTGCATATGTGCCGTTTTTCGTTAACATTTGACGATCAATATTGCATATGTGCCATTATTGTTATCAGAAAACACTTTTTCTTTTCAATTTTAGGTGATTGTCCCACTTTCAAGCATTATCCGTGTCGAATGGTATGTCTACATAGTATGGACACTGGTTGCGCCAGTAATGACGACAACTGTCCTGCGTATCAAAAATGCTGCCCACCAGTTTGTGGATGTAATACACAATGTGTCACCCCCACAGACAATACTACGCCATATCAAATTGAAACAAATTGAGATATTTATTCTCAACTCAAATCATTAGACTCATGTTGTTGATCTCTTCATTATCAAATCTTAGCCATGACATTTGCTTGTTTTCATTTTGACTGGGCATATTATGCCATTGATGAGTATAAAATGTAACCTGTTTGTGTATCATTTAAACTAATATATATCATTTATTCGAAGAGAACCTAGTTCTTCTCATTTGCTATTTTTGGTTTTCGGAAGAATTTAGTATTATATGTAAAAATGTACATGAAAAATATCTTGGTGGCTTAGAGAAACTCATTCAGAGTATATGTTGGGAGCGTCAAATTACTGCAAATATTGTGTGCATGGCTGTATTTATAATATGTTTTAAAACTGGAGTGACCACTTTACTATAAAAACCTGAAAAACATTGTTTTCTAGGGGGCAAAACTTCGATAAACGCAGAGATGGAAAAAACAAGTTTTTACTAAGAAATATAATGCGGTAGTGTCTCACCTGATCGAAATTCGACAATATGCCTCTAACAAAGATATATTTGGATAACGAAAAGCACGTCTAAATACATTCGAAAGGACCGAAATTCAAACATCGCAATACGTTTTGAACATCTCACATTACTAAACGGTATCGATATTTTGAGTCCGCTCAAATGTATTTAGGCGTACTAAAGGATACGAGCTGAACAAGGGTGAAATGAAACATTTGAACGAATCTGCAGGCATTCAAATACTAGACTTCTCAAGCTCTGAAGAGATATGGTCTGTGTTCTTGAAATAAACACAGCCCATCTACTTCAAACTTCGCATTATTACAGAGAGTTCGCAGAGAGTTTGATGTTATAACTGCAAGATTCTGATGCTCTGAAACCTGGATAAAATTTCCCCATCAGTATGTGGATATTTTTCTATAATAACGATCGCGAATGCAGTCGCGTTTGACTATGAAAGTATATGCTTCTTTGCATATAATTATGTTCACATGAGAGTCTCATAGATTGAATAGAATTTTGTGCATAACAGCATGTTAATTTACACACATAAATGACGAAAGAAAATGAGTAAATAAATACTCTTTTCTCATTTCTATTTTCGTCAGAGTGCGTAATTCATACAAAATAGTATTTGTACGTTAAGAGAAACTAGGTGTAAAACATGATCTTAGTGATCCTAGGAAAAATCATTTGTGAAGGATCAAGGATTCCTGAGCTGCCTCCCTATAAGTGCTTTTCCTAGATTTTAGGACGTACTTGCACACGTACTTAATTCGTCATATATGGTGTCGTAGAAGGGATTTGTATCTAAAATATACATCAGTTACAATTCTTTCTAATTAAATTAAATACAGAACTATCGGGTGACCGCTATGCTCTTATTAATTGGAAAAAAACCATGAGTAAAGGATTAGCAGCGTATCGGGTAGTACTGTTACATAGCATTAATCCATCCAAAAGTTTGAATTAATTATTTTCGGCCAATAAGCAGTATCAAGAGTAACGTCTTTTGTTTAGTTTCTACGTCAGTCTGGCTGATAATGCTGATTTGTGTCGTATGATATTCTTGTGCTTCTTTAGGCGATATGACTACCGTAGGATTATACGCATCTCCGCGTGGACCGACACATCCATCAATAACTATCGGAGATTTGTCGGTTTCATATTCATTGCGAATGCCGCAGAGTAATTCGATGGCCTTGCGGTTCACACCAATCAGATCGTGGTCAGAATAGCCATGTTTTCGGATCTAATGGGGATTAGTAAGCTATGTTTCGCTTTCTAAGAGCAATCAATCCGGTTTTATTCTCCTATACATCGGATGAGGCCAAGCCGGGAAGTTCCAAACCTTCGTGGTAGGTAAGAGTAGTACAATCTGTATGTGTTCTTCTCCTGGATTCGACCTTCCGACCTTTCACACACTGTAGTTTTCCAACTACGTATTTTCCCATTGCACTAAATTGTGCAAAAGGAAATTAGGAGTTATGATGATACATTCGTATGAAGGCTGTATACTTATCTATATATTTAAATAGTCTTTACAAGTGATCACTCACATGTTACTAGCTATACTATACATAAATGTCGACCATAATTAAAGTAAAGTACACGTGCAGGTACGTCCTAAAATCTAGGAAAAGCACTTGTAGGGAGGCAACTTAGGAATCCTTGATCCTTCACAAATGATTTTTCCTAGGATCACTAAGATCATGTTTTACACCTAGTTTCTCTTAACGTACAAATAATATTTTGTATGAATTACGCACTCTGACGAAAACAGAAATGAGAAAGAGTATTTATTTACTCATTTTCTTTCGTCATTTATGTGTTTAAATTACCATGCTATTATGTACAAAATTCTATTCAATCTATATATATTTCTGGGTGATATAATCAATATGTAAATCCGTGTTGTTGAAATCTTAACTCCTGAAAAAAAGGAAGTAACAGATTTAAATAACAAGAATAAGAAAATAATCAAATTATTGACAATGGAACAAATATTTTTCGTTCGTTAGTCATGAGGGACGTACACAAGAAACAACTGCAGCACTGGACGGTACAGTTAAAGTTAAAGTTAAAGATAAAGTTAAACATTCACCACTACAAGCAACGACAAGCACCACCACAACAGTCAATCCAATTGCTAATTTATCTCCTATATCGAAAAAACCGAATGAAGATGCTGCAATGACACCAGATATAAATTCAATAAAACTGAAAGGTCAGGTTCGATTACGAATAAAACCTATTTTTTAGCTTATATGTTTAATGTTAGTTGCATGTAATGTTAGATAAACTAATGAAATAATAAAGCACGAGTGCTATGTGGAGCATACGAAAGATGAAAGACCAAACAAATAGGACTAAGGATCATTGGTTTCTAGGCGTTGTACATGTGGAAGAGCATACTAAAATCCAGGAAAAGCACTTGACGGCTTGTCTAAACGTCACGGCGTTACGTTTTTGTCACTAAACTTCGGTTATCTCGGAAACTAAAGTAGCTAAAAGGTTCGTTCAAACGCCAATCGACACAGTTCATCACGCTCTACTTATACTGTGAAAACGAAGCTTTTTGGATGTTTTATTGGACTTTGAGAAGGATTTTAGTGTCGCGTCACGGCGTTATGAAAAAAGACCCTTTCTTTCGAGCGCTCTTGGGAGTTCTTCAATTTCCTGTGAAGTTAATTATGTGAAAAGGAAACTCCTAGAGCAAAATTTACAGAGTAATTGAGCGGCTGTCCGATGGTAAAAAGATTTCTTCTAGCGCTTTTCGCTCGTGAGAAAGATGCAAAATAAAAACATCACGGCGTTACGCACGTTTTGTCTAGCATATTTGATGCACTTAACACGATGGTAAAGTAAATCAATCTATTACAGAGGCCAGATTAGTAAAAGTATGCTTTAGTTAGAGAGAAAATAAGATATAAAGGAACCTAAAAGTACTTTGAACTTCGAGCACAAAAACAAACTTAAAACTGCTGCTCTAACTCAAGCTTTTCTTTACATGACTATCTACGGCTATGGCGTAATCATGGGTGCTCCTTCGTATGGTGTAATCTTCACCATTTTTTGTTTTACAGCTTTCTTTCATGTAATTTTTCGCTCTCACATTCTTAGCTTTGACAAACTAGTTTATTAACCCACTGGTAGCGAACCATTCCATCAACATGTTCGGTAGCGATCCGGTAGAACACACATTCGCTCACGTTGTACTTTAGTCTAGCCTGTTTTATTTCTGAATCAGTGAATTCTTCTCATGTTAAAAACGTGTGTTCGTGCGCGTAAACGTTCAGGTGCTCTTATTTTGTGTGGTAGGAATAAGTCCTGCAGGGATACGCCCTGCAGCGATCCTGTTTTAAGTGACGCTTCTCCTTCTTTACTCTGCGTTCTGAATCTAGCTAGATTCAACTCCGATGTGTACTTGAGTTAAAAATCTCTGTTCGTCTTCCACCTTGGTCCTCCACTTGCGCGCAAACAGACAAACGTTTTCCTACGCAGCACAAAAGCAAGACGGGCGAGGAATAGTGCACTTAAACATAGTGAGGCGCTTTTCTCGATGGGATACATTTTCTGCTTTAAGAGTACCTCAGAGCGGCGCATTTATAGTGTCCGACTCATCATCCATCAAAGTAACCTTTTCAGCTGGTGAGGCACTTGTTTTTCGTGTATCAGAAACATATCAGCGGGCCACTAGGATCACTTTTATAGCTCGTTTCTCTTAATGTACAAATAATATTTTGGATGAATTGAAAACGAAAATAGAAGTGGGAAAAGGGTATTTATTTACTCATTTTCTTTCGTCATTTATGTGTGTAAATTAACATGCGCAAGTACAGGACCAAGGTGGAAGACGAACAGAGATTTTTAACTCAAGTACACATCGGAGTTTAATCTAGCTAGATTCAGAACGCAGAGTAAAGAAGAAGAAGCCTCACTTAATACAGGACGAAAAACATTTTATAAACACAAACAGCAGTATAAGGACACAGATCCTTGTCCGTGCCACACAGAAAATAAGAGCATCTGAACTTTTACGCGCACGAGAACATGAGAAGAATTCACTGATTCATCGACTGCCTTCCTTTTGCGTAGCGTAAGAAAAAGATCATTTGTAAGGGGTAAAGGATTCACTAACTTATCCATTCAAGTGCTTTTCCTGGATTATAGTATGCACTTCCACATGTACTTAATTTATCATATGTGATGTTGTAGAAGGGTTCGTATTTAAAATATGCATGAGTTGCAATTTTTCTTTGCAAATGAAGTTATATAAGAGTTGTCGGTTCGACGAACGATTATTGACTAGCAGCTATTCTGTAAGTAATTAATTCAAACTTTTGTATAGATTAATGCTATTTAAATGTACTGTCCGATGCAGTGCTAGTCCTTTAACCATGATTCTTTTCCCGATCAAGAATAGCTGCAAGTTTAAGGATATGCTTTTTCTAGAAGGTACGACATCTTCTGTTATGTTGATATAAGCTTTATTCTGCCAGAATACAAGCGGAAAAATATTCCATTATAGTATTCTAAACTATATCGAAAAACACAAAATCAAATTCTGTTATGTTGATCGGAGTATTGGGTTCATTCGGTGTCAGTAAAATGAGAGCTGAGGTTCTTGCTCTCACAGGGGTTTCTCTCTGGCGTAATTTATTTAAGGAAAATATTCTGAACTTCTGGTATAAAAGCGTCTTCATAAAATGCTTTTAATCAGCGGCAGCTGATTATCATCGCTCCAAGGGTTACATTCTTTCTTGCTATCAGTACAAAATTCGTACAATGTCCTAATTTAGTCGGAGTTTCTAGGAAAAATGCTTCCGTACCATGTGCACAAGTTCCATAGTCGTATGCAATAAAGCTGGAAATTGTTTTTGTTCGGAAATCAATTAACAGTTTATATGTAAAATCATGTGGTGCGTCCGGCAAAGGTTGACAAGTACCATTATAAATTAAATTCAGATCTGTTGCATTTGGTGAACCAATACATCTAAGGTTTTTAAAATCCCACCAGTTTGCATTACACTGGAAAGCATTTTCTTTCTCAATCGTTCTATTAAATGCAAATTTGATTGTTAATATTAACAGAAGAGCAAAGATGAAGGACAGTTTGTAGAGTAACGGCATTTTTTTAAAACTGGAAGGAATGTTTTAAAAGAGGGAATGCTAACATCAAAAACAAGCACTAACACCTGTCATTTTTCACACGCGATTAGGACAGCATTTTGCCATTCACTATAGCCAAACCAACTTTTCCGTGCATTTTTTGTATAACAAGATCGATAGCGATCAGTGTTTTATTCGAGAAACTGCTCATTCATAATTTTTAGTCTTTACTTGCAGTTTTAAAAACAAAAGAAGCAAATTCTGCTCAAATAAACAAGGACGAACGACTTGAATTGAATTACTGTTTTTTGGGATCATTTTTTGAAAAAGAATGGTGCAATAAACACCAGAATCACTCATATACTTTCATAGTCAAACGCGACTACATTCGCGGTCATTGTTATAGAAGAATATCCACATACTGATGGGGAAATTTTATCCAGGTTTCGGAGCATCAGAATCTTGAAGTTATAACATCAAACATGTGGACATGTGTGAACGCTCAAAGTGCGTAATTCATCCAACGTGCATCTGATCTTCTATCACGCGCACTTGACTAAAAGACATCGAAAAACTCCTAAAAATAATAACATATTCTTGGATTTTCTATTCGGCCAGCATGCCAACACATTGAATCTGTCTGTTTGCGCGCAAGTGGAGGACCAAGGTGGAAGACGAACAGAGATTTTTAACCCAAGTACACATCGGAGCTGAATCCAGCTAGATTCTGAAAATTCCGCAGAGTAAAGAAGAAGCCTCACTTAATACAGGACAAAAAACAAACAAAAATAGTAGTATGAGGACACAGATCCTTATCTCTGCATTCTCATTCAAAAAAGCTCACTTGTCGATTTTTCCTCAAATTTTCGCCTGAATGCCCACTGTGGGCCAGGGCTCAAAAACTTTTCACAGCGTAGGGCAAGGGCTCCGTAGACAGTTACCCTGCACATCTCTAGAGAAAGGTCGAAAATAATGCAAAAACCTGGAAAAATAGTAGTCATCAGCCCATCGTGTTTCCCAAATTTCGCCATGTTCAGAAACTTTTATTTTCAAATTGATTAGTCCATCTTGTAGAGGATCAGTCGCTCCACAAAATGCGGGATAAGAGAGTCCTGCTAGGAACCTTTTTCTGGTTCAAAATTAACTTTTGAAGAAAATTAGTTACGTTTTGAAAATAGAAAATTTCGGAAAACCCAATTGTTTTCTAGGAAAACTTAATAGTGGAACAAAAATAAATAAGCCATCTTCTTCAGTTTTTATCTGGCTTTTGAATGAGATTTTGTTTGAACAGAACGGATCAAATTTGACGGAGCTACACCCAAAATGCTGGCGACACCTACTTTCTTGAAAATCTTCGACACCCTTTATTTTACTTTGAAAATTCATATCGGAGCCAGATTAAGTTGGCGAGGTCTAAAAATTTTTTCATAACCCCAGTTTTAACCATAAAATCGAATGGGATCATAAAAATTGGGGGCAATTTTGACCACTTCACTGATCTCTCAAGCAATGCTCGATTGAATCGCAAAGTCTCTCTTAACACTGAACATCTGTCGCAAGAACTACTCCGCTGTACTAATGTTTATTATAATAATGTTTATTATATAATGTCTGTAATAATGTTTTAAAAAATGAAAAATTTCGGAAACTCAATGTTTTCTAGGAAACCTGAATTATGTATCATAACTAAACAAGCCATCCTCTTCAGTTTTTACCAAGCTTTCGAATGAGATTTTACTCGAACAGTACGGACAAAATATGACTGAGTTATAAGCAAAAAGCTGAGCAAGGTGGCGCTTTTACGGAAAATCCTTGATAGTGTTCATTTTGTAAATTCTATTACTCAGTCAAATTGAGTTCGGAAGTGCTAAAAAATGTTTCATAACCCCGCTTTTGGTCATAGAATCCCAAAATATGAGAAAAATATACGTTAATTCTGACCATTCCACTACATTTCTCTATGGGCTAGTAAAGGCTCTCTTAAGTATGAAAGAGAAAAAGAATCCGTTTAATGAATACTTAGAAATACTGTAGAATGAGTTTTTTGTAGTCTTAGAAAAATCACTTCGATGAAATGTAGACTACAGTTTCGTTTCTCACGATTATGGTGACACTGGAATATATCTGGCTCATTAATTCACGCTTTATTTTTTCCCTCAAATTTCTATTTATTCTGACAGCTGTGACGAAAATTCAAATTACCTACAAAAGCTTCTCTATTAACCAACGATGGTTCCATTTTGTTTTGACATCGGTACTGCTGGAGTGATAATATGATTACTATTATTTATGTAAGACTCTGCGCTGCTGTTTATTATTTTATTGGTAACTTCTTGTTTTACATCGCCAAGTGCATTTTCAACGTATAAGTGTGGGTTCTATTATGTTCCACTATTCAGAAACTCTGCGAGCAACTCAGTCAGGTCGCGCAGGCCCTTAGACTTCTGCTTCTTAATATTTTTTGGTTTTGGTCAGCTGCTCTCTGAACAACGTCTGTAATATAACAGAAACGCGTATCAAAGTTGTAGTCGATTCCGCATCCTGGCAGAATATTGCCGTTCCAGAAAAATCCAACAATAAGTTATTAGTTTTAGGAGTTTTTCGCCTATGAAAATATTGTAAACACTTTCTTCAAAAAAACGAACGTTTAAACAGAAAATCCGTTTTATTTTTCCGGCGAAAGCATGAAATGAGTTATTTTCTTTGATAAGATGAGGTTGATTTTCTTTTCTAATTGTTTCTACTTCTTTGAAAACAATTAATCGTCATGTTTTCAAAGGTTAAACAATAACATCTATCAATAACATATTTAAAGCAAAAAGAGAGCATCATACCGCTGATTACCTTCTAAAAAGGAAGTTTTTCTTTACTCGACTTCCAGAGACTTGTTTTGCTTGTCTCGAAAACTTGCTTTTTTAAACAATAATTAACGATATTCACAGTCATATTTCTCTAATCCCTCCCCCATAATAGAAGCCCGGAAGGGCTTCTAAACTGTCCAAGCGTTCAAAATTTTTAGGGGGGCTTCTAATAAGTTCCACTATTTGTCAAGGGTTTCACGTACAAAAATTTTGTAACAACTTTTGGGGTTTTCCAGAGTTTTCCAGAGCTTTTCGAAGGGATTTCAAGGGAATTTCGAGATTCTCATGCTGGTATGTAAAATTTAAACGAGTTTTTACCTTAAAGTCCTGAAAATTGGACAGCTTTTACTTTAGAAATACTAATAAAACTTTCCGAAAATTTCAAAATTTTTTTCAAATAAGGGGGCTTCTAATACATTTTCCACATCGACCTCTCCGAGGGGGGCTTCTATTATGGGAGGGGATTTATAGAGGAACTTGAATATCTCACTCGAATACATCGCCACTTATGTCGATCTATCACGCATCACCAAATTTCTCTAAGGCGAACCGAAAATGAAGACGCCAAGCAGCGGATTTGTACGAATTCTACATACTCTTCCATGTGCACGCTCCCTCTGCTTGCACACCTCGATTCTCGTCTTGCTTTTTGACCGCCACTGGCCTCACATTGTTGACCTTAATATGACCAGCAGCTCGTTTCATTCATCTGAACCGCTAACATCAATCGAGATAGATTCACTTTTGCGCTTATTTACTCATCTGGAGCGATTAGCTTTATGCCGTCGAAGTGTCCAAGATCTGACGCCATTATTCAATACTAACAGTTCAACATCGAAAAACTCCTAAACCTAATAACTTATTGTTGGATTTTCTGGGGCGGCAATATTCTGTCAGCATGCGGAATCGACTACAACTCATCAGAGTTGTAGACTAATGTATACTGGTAAAACAACCTAACTTATGGTCGAATGGTTTTGGGTACGTTGTACTTACAAGATTCTGTGTTAGGGAATGTGGTTAGCAGACGTTTTACAGACGTTTATGCAGAATTGAAGGGACTATCTAATGATATGGTTGAAAGGCTTCTGAAAGAAATTTTAAGCTCACTAGGTTTTATAGAATACCGAGTTTTTCAGAAATCTCAAGACTGCGACGTGTAGCATAACTTTTCTCTGTCGAAACATATCGAACTCGATATGCTCCTTGATTTGATACCAATTTCAAGATTCTGTGTTAGGGAATGTGGTCAGCAGACGTTTTACAAGTTATGCCAAAATCGTCGGAAAATGATGAAAATGCAGTTTTCTGCTGCGATGGTAAACTGGCTATAGCTTCTTTTCCAACAAGGCAGGAGACTTGCGGTTGTCACCATTCGGTTCAGGTTGCTGAGCTCTATACCAATGGATTTTGAATTGTGTTGACCATTTTTCGAAATTCAGTTGGGCGTATCCATTACAAAATAAATCAGCTAGTGAAGTTGCTAAACGTTTGAGAGAGTTGTTTTATGTGTTTGGGCCCCCACGTTTGTTGCATTCTGATAATGGTCGTGAGTTTGTTGCTGATGTTATTCAAGATTTAAAAGTATTGTTTCCTGGTATGTATTTTGTAAGAGGTCGACGACGACATCCTCAGTCACAAGGTTGTGTAGAGAGAGCTAATGGTGTATTGACTGCTGCATTAGGGAAATGGTTAACAACAACGAAGTCACTAAATTGGTCGGAAGGTCTTGCACCGGTTGTTTATGGCATCAATACAAGAGTTGCAAGTGCAACAAAATGTACACCGCACGAGGTGATGTTTGGACAAAAGCCAAGATGTGACCAAGAATTCTGGAAGATTGTACAAGAAAGCAATATTGTAGATGAAGAACAATTATCAACACCAGTAGATGATATTATCGATAATACAGTTTTGGATGATGGGCTTGTAACTACAGACAGTGCAATGAACTCAACAATGACTATTGACAATGAAGCTTTTCCACTTTACGATAATACAACAGCAGATGATGTTAACTCACCTTCCCTTCTTGATCAGTCTTCAACATCAGTGTGTGCTGCACCTGTTCTTAATCCACTGTCTAGTGCAAGTGTTTCTTCTTCGAATGATAATCTTATTTCGTTTGATTCGCCAAAATCACCTGCAAAGACTGTTTCGCAGTGTTTATTACCATCAATTCCAGTCTTGCTTTTGGATACTCCTACATTGGTTGTTTCTTAGATTGAACCTAATTCGAAATCTAATAGCTGTGTTAATATTCTGGATGAATTAGATGCTCTTGTAAATTCTCCTGTTAAAACGACTTCACTTTCTTCATTGTCCTTATCAACTGTTGTTGTTGCTTCATCTAATACTATCGAAAATTCAAACTTTGTTCCTGCTTTCATTTCACCACCATTTAATTCTTTACCGTCTGTTGTACAATCTCCACGACATAAGTCAGTACGTAAACAAGCCACAGAAAATTATCTAGCTACTGCAAATAAGAAGCGTAAATTATATGAGGAACATTTGCAAAATCTGGCTGAAACACTTAATGTAGGTGATTGCGTTGGTATCAACATTCATGATGTTGACAGAACCAATACAGATCCCAAACTTTTGCCGTGTTTGATATTTTCAAAAGAAAAAAAGGAAGATAGCGTTGTTTTTCAGTTAGCTTGCCAGTTTGGAAAATTGGTTTCATCTTTCACGGCCGAAAGTTTGGTTTCTTTGAAAGCTGTTTGTCCATCTGAGTTGAAATCTGTTGATCCTGCTGAATTGAAGAGCATAACGTTGATCGAAGCTTGTAAATTGTTTGTTCGAGGCTCGGTGAGTGGTGCGACGTGTGATTGTAAATCACAATGTGCAACGAAACATTGTTCATGCAAAAAAGCCAATGTTAATTGTTCCACAAAATGTCATTCGAAACGAAGTGCTGGTTGTAAAAATATGGAATAAAGACATACAAAGTTGACTAAGAATTGTAAATATACAGCATAGTTGTACATAGCGAAGAAGGCAACTCGAGAAAAGAAAATAGTTATTATAATTTGTACATAATATGATTATCTACTAAACCTGCATGTCTGTTATTTACTAATGCGCTACTAATAAAAAGAAGGGGAAAAAAACACAAAAACAGTTTGGAAAATTTGTAAATAAAAATGCTAATTTAAAGGTGAGCACGTAAGTACGGGGAATATTATTTGTACATAATATGATGTCATTACTCTGCTGTGTTGCTCAAAGATAATAACAAATGATTAAAGAGATCTCGGATGGACGCTTGAAACTTAATATTAACATTTAAATTCGCTACTGACGCGTCGGACCTAATGTTGGCATGTTCAGTTTTGATTTTCGTACAGTTCCACCCGCTGGGTGAGTTCGAGTTTGCCGTTTTCTGATTCTCTTCGGGAGTATTCTATTGATTTGTGAAATTCTATTTAGGGGACAAAAATTAAAAAAAGTCCCCGTGTATGTGATAGTAGTGTCTATTCGTGTTAAATTTATTCGTTGGACTACTTTTCATTGTCATTGGGTTACGGGAAAAATCATCGAAGGGAGTAGAAACATACTATTGTTCACTTTATGCTAGGATGTCTTAGATGCACAATGCCAGTTAAGATTAAACCCGACATTACATGAAAATAATGTTAAAATTCTAATTTTGCTTAATTATTTTTAGTCAGAGTTCGAATTTCAATTTTGTCTAGAGATCTTTCAGTCAAATTTTAATAAATACTTAATCATAGGACAGACCTTTTAGCTTTAAGTCACTTATCATAACACAAAACACTGTCTTCCTAAAGAGATCACCGTCTCCAACTGCAAATTCCGATTTTGGCCTGGCCAAAATTAGAATTCCACTTTTGGCCAGACAGATTCCAGATTTGGCCAGCCAGAGTTAGAATTCCAGTTTTGGCTGGCCAAATTCGGAATCTGGCCAAACTCTAAGTTTGGCCACAACATATCTGCTAATTTGAATCCGCGATGGAAAGATTAAATACCTTCCTGGTCAGAAATGTATTTTCGACACAAAACGCAGGACCCTGACCAATGTGTACCGGTATTAGTTTTTAAATTATTTCAAAATTATAATCGAAGCAGCTGTAAAATAATACAAAAGCGCTTCTATCTGGTGTTTGTAGAAGAGCAAAATGCGGCATCTCGATTGCGAACAATTCTAAATTGTGTGCTCTTGAAGAAAAACAGTATTTTATATAATTCTCAAAGGAGAACAGATTCAAGACTGATGTATACTGGTAAAAGAACCCAACTTATGGTCGAATGATTTTGGGTACGTTGTGCTTATTTAACGGAAGTAGACCAAACCAAAATACACTTTACGCCTCAAAACTCAAAATTTTTGCTCACTTCTGACCTTATATTCGGAATCAACGTGATATTCTGAGTGGAATCATGTGCCTTTCAGATAGATTTGAAGGAAACAGTTTACTCGTGTTCCAAGGAGACCACAGCGACGCGTTTGTTTCGGATAAAATAAAAGTGGTTTCTGCGGAAAACTGAATCGACTATTTTGTTCAGAATTTTGCTCTAATTCTAACCATGTGCTTTTTTCTTCGAGTATTATAGTCCGCGATGGGTCAAACGACAAACATATCGAAATGCCCGTCACGGTTTGTGACGCGGTCAAAGAAACACCGACATATCTGTCACAGTCTGTGGAGTGGGGTGGCAACCTTGTAGCAAAAAAGTTTCGAAGGGGGTGCCTGCCAGCAGAGAAACTGTTTCCGTTTATGAATTGGATGTGTGCCCTATACCTCATTCAACGATTTTTCACCCAAGGGGGTGTTTAGACCCCCCCATGGCTACGGGTCGGCGGAGTAGGGTGGGACTTCACTTTTCGCACTATATACTTCAGCACTCACTAACCATTGTGTTTTACAAAATCGAGCACCTTTCTCTCTCACAGAAACTCCTTGCACATCTGTTTTGTCTCCACACTTATGCTCTATCTTGCCCCCACGGGACGAGACGGTTGGCAAGATATTTTCGGAAATTCGTGTTTTGTTTCTGTTGGGCTCCAATGGAAAAATGCAATCTGTGAATTCGATATCTCCATCAAACGATCCGACAAATCGAAAATAATTCAGGTTATACGTCACTCATTTAACCCTACAACATATAAAAAAACAGGGCTGGGGACCTCCATTAAGATTTTGAGGGGAGAGATATCTTGATATGGGTTACAATCTCCGGTGCTCAAGATATAAAACAAAGTATCGAAGTACTTTGGGTTTTTTGAGAGGCTCTGTACTTCGTTCCATTACTTCGAAATGTTGAGACTACCAGCAGAAGAGCAAACAAAATTGTATCTGGTAAAAGTTTGAGGTTGATCGGACGACACAGCGGTGAGATATGCATATGTGACTTTTCGAACATGGTCGAATTCATCACACTTCCTTGCAAAGAATCTGTCTTACCACTTGAACTCAATCAAAATCAGAAGTAAAATAGTGCGTGTTGTAGCCCTTGACAAATTCCACAAAATGGTCTATTCACCTTTTCAAAATAGTAGCTCTAGGTAGTGTGTTGGGTTCATCTATAAAACCATGAGACTTGCCCAGTGAAGCCGCCCACAATCCCTCAGAAAAAAACTTTCCAGAAAATGCTGGTATAGCTTGATCGATGCCGTTTTTCACGCTGATTAGGAATCTGATATTGGCTTGCCAAACCGTATCACTTCAACATGAAAATAGGTTACTTTCCATCGACAAGTCCAAAACTATCGGCATTCACCACGAACTGGAGGGAACATATCTCGGTCTGGAGAGAATGAATTTACTTCAAA